GTCTTTAATTGAGGTGAGCGGGCTGACCTGTCTGTCATCCATCTAATGAGCTCACACTCTCTGGCCAAGAGCACTGGCTTCTGTCCCTGTCACTTGTTGGCTCTTCCTAGCCATATCCCTGGGTTGTTTACACCCAGTGGGCTCAGCTGTCTTTGTGCCCATCAAGGACCTCCTGAAACACAGTCAGGTTCCCAGGGCCTGAGCTGTGAAGCCGCAGCCACAGTCACGGGTGAAGCCACCATACCTTCACAGATATTTTTACTCCTCTTTCTTCTTTGTCTTCTCTTCATCAGTTTCCTTCTCCATGCTCTTTAGGGAGATTTAGAGCAGCAAGCATGCTCAGGAGAGTGTGGTGTTGTTTGGTGGTGTCTGCCCATTCCTGGGGTATAAATCCTGCTCTACCCTCAAGTTCTCCAGCAGCCACAAACCTTGTCCTCATGAGAGTGTCTCTAACCTGTTCTTTCCTACCATGGCTGGGTGGCCTTTGAAGCCAGTTCAAGCCAGGCCTGGTTACCATTACAAGGTAGATTTCACCCCCTCTCTGAAGACATGGTTCTATTGTCTCAATGGATCTATATTTGCTGTCATGGCATGCCTTGCAGCTCCCTGCCCTGGTACCATCTGTGCAGAATCTTGAAGGCAGTGCATTAATTTTTTTTTCTAATTGCAGCCAGAATTTTTTTGTTTTTGTTGTTGTTGTTCTTGTTTTTGTTTTCCATGGAGGATTGCCCTGGGTGGGTAACTCCACCTTCAGTGGCAGCAGAGGTATAACTGGATCTGTTTGCTGATTTCTCTGTCATCCAGCAGGCCTCAGGCACAGGGCTGGAGAGAAACACATCCAGGGCCTGTCCCTGCCATATTCTTGGCAAAGGGCAAATGAACCTGGTCCACCCATTGAGAACCTGTTCGTGGCTCCCCAGAGCCCAAGGCTCAAATCTGAGGATAGAGTCAAGGGGACATTCCCCTAAGGGTGGGTAGGCACCAAACCCATTCTTGCCATAGACTCCAGGTCTCGCTCACACTGTGAACATGGCTAGCAGTACCCACACTGTGGGCATGCCAGTTAGCAGGCAACACTTCCCCACCCAGGCCCCACACTAGTGGCAACATATCCCAACCCCATGGGCCATGCCTCACCCTCTGGGAGCTGTGTGGGTGGAGGAGAGGGGTGAACATGGCAAGTGAGCACCACATTGAGTTCCCATGCCACACCTGCTGCTCAAACATCTGGATCAAGTGTCTACAGATCTTCCCAGCCACTCATCACCTATAAGGACACACTGAGGTAGACCAGAAGGTCTGAGGGAAGGTGGGACCAGGCCAGATGCTGAGGTTGTCTTCATCTGGTACACAGTAGGCACTTAGTAAAGACTGGCTCCTTCCTTTCCTCTACCAATCACTCACTGAATAGTCTGTGCCATGTGCAGCCAGCAGTGTCCTAGGTGCACATTGAAGCAGAGCTATATGTCTCAAGCTCACATCTGTACAGGCAGCCATTGCCAATGAGGGGAAAGCCAGGTGGGGTCAGGACATCAGGCAGATGGTAGGAGTAGTTGGGCATTACCTTGACTGCTACACAGGGCTTCAGGCACAAGGGTGAATGGTGGTGTCTTCATCCATACAAACCTTTCATGAGACCTCCGCGAATTTGTTTTTGTTGTCATTTGTTTGTTTTGTTTGAGGGAGGGGTAACGTTTTCCTCCCCCCTCCCCTTTTCTTTCTTTCCTTTTTTGAGACAGGGTCTCATGGCTAGCTTTGACCTTGCTGTGTAGGTGAAGCTGCTTTAAACTCCTCACTCTCCTGCCCGTCTGGGTTACAGGCTTGTACCAACTGTGTGGTCAAGGTTCTAGTTTAGTTTTCTTTTGTTTTTGTTTGTTTGTTTTTGAGACAGTCTTACACTGTAGTCCAGGCTAGCCTGGAAGTCACTATGTAGCCCAGGCTGACATCACAGGACACCTTTGAACTCACAGCAATCTTTCTATTTCAATCCCTCAAGTGCTGAATGTTCTGGAACTAGCTCTAGTGAGGTCAGAGTCTTTTCACTTGGGGCTCAGGATAGAAGCCTAACTCCTTGGCTTCACTCTATATGGAACTCAGTGGCTTGACCTAACCCTCCTCACATCCTCTGACTGGGGGCTTCTTGGGGACCTGTCCCTTCACAGATCCCCATAGCCTAGCTAGGGGCCTTATATCTATGAGCTTGTGGTTTCAAATGTCTCAGCACAGTGATCAGGAGTAGGGGTAGAACTTAGACTTTCACAGCCTTTGGCTGTGGCTGAAGGAACCTGGCCATCCCCCAGGCTCCTCCTACTGTGGGAGGGCTGTGGTCAGGCTGGGTACCACGTTTTTTAAAAAAAATCTTAGTGTATTTTTGCTAAATGGGTCCCACGACCCCTTCACCAACCAGATGTTTCCTTGGGAAAGACCAGGGAACTCACGTCAGCAGGGCCCACTTTCCCAGGGATGCTGGGACTGCAAAGAATATTTTGGGTCTTAGCGTGCGGGTGAACACTACACAGAGATGAATCTTGGTCTATAATGGAAAAGCTAGCCTCTACCACTCATGGGCCACTAAGACATCTCCCCTGACTCAGGGGTGTCCCATGACATCAGCCTGTGAGTCACTGGGGCTGGGGACTCTGTAACAGGGCTGGCCAAAGCAGGCGTGGCCTAACCTGAACCAAGCAGAAACTGTGCTTTGCCCCTTCAGTCCATTGTATTGACTTTGCCTGCAGGCCCAAGGCTGGGGCTTGGCTGCTAAGGGCACCAGAGCCCTCTGTCTGCAAATCAGACCTCATATCACCTGCCTTATAGATGAGGGAACAGGGTCCAGAGAGGTTAAGACATTTGCCATGGACCACACAGGCCTCCCAAACCCATCCCATCTACACCAGGGGGTAGCAGAAGGACCAAGGATCTCTGTCCTAAGTCTCTGGGGTGCTTTCTCTATCCTGGGATAAGATCTGTCTATTCAAAGAGGAAGATCAAGCCTGTGGCCAAAGCCCTCCATCCCTGGGCTCCGGCCTAAACTATCATGCTTGTTTGTGACAGTCTCGATTATCCCAGGCTTGCCTGGCATTCCCTATGAAGCTAAGGATGACATCCCTGGAGTGCTGAGATTACACTCCACCCAGTTTATGGGGTACTGAGGCTTGAACCCAGGGCCTCATGCTTGCTAGGCATGCACTTCACCAACTTTTGCCACATCCCCATCATGATCTATCTCTTTTTGCTAGGTACTCTGCCTTGCTGTGTCAGCACCCAGAGGCACTAACTTTGTGACTTGAAGTCTGGACAAGTGTGTTTATGTCACCCACTTCAGATGATCAATTGATTTGGTTGATTGGGTGAAACTCACTATGTAGTCCAGGATAGCAGAAAGGCCTCAGAAACAATCCCACTGGGGCATCCCAGGAGTTTTTTTCTTATAGGCCATTCTCAGATGACATTGGCCTGGTGGGTTTTGGCCATCAGACTGTGGCACACCTGCGGGCTGGACAATTCACTCAGCCTGTGGTACTGGGGACAGAGGGCACAGGCCACAGCAGCTGCTCCATACCCCATGACAAGCTCCTTCAGGTCTCAGAATTATGAGCCAGAGAGGTCTGTAGACCCTCCGGCTGAGCTCCAATCTGCCATGAAAGATCTAGGCAAGACCATACATGTTTGTGTGACTATGTAGACACCTCTGTCTTGTTAAAGGGCTTTTCCAAGGAACATGTGTCTACAGAGAACCAGGGGCCAGGCGTGGCACTTCTGCCATTGGGGAAGCACAGCTTGGGTCTGAATTGAGTGGACCCTGTTAGCTAAGAGCTGGTAGATTAAAGAGACTTCTCCACAAGCTTAAGTGTCCTCACCTCTGTAAGGAGATAGGCAATCATGCATTTCATTTCCGGCGGTAGCAATCAGTTCTTATGAAGCCATTAACTTGGCTGCGAGTCAGTAGCCCTTGGGTTCCTTCCTGTCACTCAACAGAGAGACATATCTTATGGTGATAAAATAACCTTAAGGGGAAAGCAGCACATCCTTACAGGGATGTCAAGGCAGCAGGAACTTGAAGCAACTGGTCACATCACATCCAAAGTCAAGAACAATGAGTTAATACAAGACAATCCATCACAGAAACATGTCCACAGGCCAGCATGATGTTAGATTATGTCACATTGACAAAACTAGCCATCACACTTGTCCCAAGTCAGAGCAGCACTGTAGGGGCACCTGGACTGGAATTCTTGGTGTCCCTGTGTCAGGCTGTTAGCTCTTTAAAGATAACAGTCATAGATGTGCATGGAAACTAGAGTTAGGCTACAATCAGAGAGAGGACTTCATGTCCCCTACACAAGCACCTGTTCAGTGAGCCCTGAGAGCCCCAGTCAAGGCTGAGGGGGTTGGTGGACCTGGAATCATGAATGTTCCTCTTTTGTTACCAGGCTTTGGGGGGGTCTCACTTAATTCCTGAGAACTCCCCTAAGTGTTTTAGAACACTAAGAGCTCTCTGGGCTGTGATCAGGGGACTCCTAGATTCTTGCATAAAGTGCTGTATGTAAGAGAGTTCCCTAGCACCAGGCAGTGGTGGAGCACACCTTTCATACCAGCAGTTGGGAGGCAGAGGCAGATGGATATCTGTGAGTTTGAGGCCAGCCTGGTCTACAGAGTGAATTCTAGGACAGTCAGGGCTACATAGTGAAACCCTGTCTCAAAAAAATCAAGA